CCCCCCCCCCCGGTTTTCAGGCTAATGCATAGTTATTTTTTAATTTAAAAATACCAGAAAAAAAAGCTATGTAGTTTTTAAAACAAGCGTAAGTGATATGAATATAAAACTGTGGGGTAACATTTTTGTGACTCAAATGATGAGTGTGATTTGTGTACTTTACTTGTGAAATGAGGTTCAATGATCTAACTGGATGCAATGCTTTTTCCTTTCCCCATTCTCTCTCTTTCTCTCTTCTCTCTGTTTCTACTGTCGCCTTTTTTCCTCTGCCCTACTCCTTCTTATGTGTGTATACAATGTGTGTATACACTCAACATCAGTCCTCACATGGTTTTCATTTAGATGGGATCATCTTCAGTGAAAGGAAAGAAATATGGAATTGATGTGTGAGTCTGAAAACTTTACATGTGGTTGTATGAAAAAATATATATGCTTTTAGCTTCATGACAATGTACTGTTTACTCTCAAAAGAAAATAAAAAATAGAAAAACCACTAACTTTTTTCATTGAGAGTGTTTTCGAAGGACTGCACAGTGGCAATATTTGGTGCCTATATTATAATCAGTGCCAGATAAAGCTATAAAATGAATTTATATTATCGCCCTATTCTGGAACTCCATTATTGGGCTTATGGGAGAATCTGAATGAAGTTGAATTTGGAGTATTAGGCCACTTTTCAAGACTCCAAAACTTATGAAAACAAAACAAATGTCACTTCCTGCCTTGCTACACTCTTCCCCCCAAGCATTTTACTCCCTTCATATTTAAACCCACTCATTTTAATTGAAATACAATTCACATGGATTTGATTCATTTACATTTATTTCATCAAATTGTTTTGCAAGAAACATTTGATGTCTTACAAGTTGTTTTCTTCCTCAAAAATAGGACATGTTCTTTCAACAGAAATAAACACATGCTACCTAAAACATCATGTGCAATTTACAACTCAAACAAAAAATCTTCAAGAGAATCTGAATATAAAATAATACTTGGTTCCATTCCTAAAATAATAGTCTATATGGTGGAAAGCAAGTTGTTTGCTAAAAGCAGTTATGTTATCCAAAAACTGGAAAGCACATTACCATCTTCTCATTCTTAGTAGATAAGAAATAAAAAACGTTGAAACAAAACTACTGAATGTTATATAGGTAGTTAGGCAGATAGGAGCAGAGCAAGTACGCTGGGCCAGGTGCAGAAACTCACTGGGGCAGAAAGCCTTGGATGCCTAACAAGGGGACAAAACTGAGAAAACAAGAGCCTCATCTCCAGGGTAACCTTTCCTCCCTTAGCATATCGCTGGTCGTGCAGTTTAGACCCCCTGACAGTTTCCTCCCTAAAAAGAACATCTAGATCTCAGCTGTACTTCAGCTCCAGGCCCAGAAGAACAGCAAACCCAGACAAGTTATTCCATGGCTGCCTCAGGACCAGCTACATTGACTAGTGACCTCCTGCCTAGGCACTGACCAGTCAGTGGAGACCATGACCCTGAAAGAGCCCACCTGGAAAGCTGATGAATATTCTATTGAGACCCTCCCCTGAGACCTCCCCTAAGATTTCCACCTGCAAGAGAGAGATAAATACACTCAAGATGAAGGACGCAGGGTGTGCTCTCCTCAGGGGAGCACGTCTGAGCCATTCTCTTCCTTCTTCTTCCCTCTAAGGGACCCCAACAAACTTGCAGCCAGGGGACCAGTGAGCAGCAGCAGCTTGTCCTGGGCTTACCCCCTGAACCTGTCTCCAAGGCCCCCTTTTCTCTGACTTCTCGGTGAGCCAAAGCAGCCCAGCCTAGACTCTCCTGGTACTTCTATGTCCTTCCTTGTTTCACTGTCTTAAGTATACTTTTGCTGTGGACAATAAGTTTTTAATTACTTTGCTACACTTTGTTTCTTGATTGAAATTTTTCCTTCAAGAAGACAAAAACCAAGGTCTTGTCATCTCCCTAGTAACACAGATGATATTACAAAAAGTAGTATGCAAAGTGTCCTTTATTTGAATGAGATCACAGTAAAATTCTCACAAGTTTTTTTTCAGACAAAAGCTCATTTTGTCTGAGAAAATATTTTAGAGGGTAAGTAATTTTATTATATTTCAATATCTTTTCTAAAAAATATATTTTTTATTGATTTCAGAGAGAGGGAAGGTAAGGGAGAGAGAGTGATAGAAACATCAATGATGAGAGAGAGTCATTGATCGGCTGCCTCCTCACGCCCCCCACTGAGGATCGAGCCCACAACCCGGGCATGTGCCCTGACCGGGAATCGAACCAGGATATCCTGGATCATAGGTCAATGCTCAACCGCTGAGCCATATCTGCCAGGCTCAATATATCTTTTAATTACCTTGAAACAGAAATTACACAGGCACAAATTGCATGTAGGATTTTTTTTAATGCAAGGTCGTTATTAATATGAATTTCTACTTGGAATGAAATCCCAGAATGTAATGTGGAGAGGAATTTTTTGACAAAAAAATTTTTAATAATTGAAGTGCAAGGCTATGTTACACAGCTTCTAGTATGCTTATGAAAATCCTGGTTCCAAAAAACAGCTTTTATTTGTGAATAAAATCAAGAAAGGATTAGACAAATTAATTGAAGCAGGTTTTACGAAAAGCAAGTGGCATTTGGGGGCATGCCTGGCCTCCTGAAATCAGTGTTCCCCAGTACAGATCTACTCAGCCGTGAAGTTTCCCTTGCCGTAGTCATTAGCAAGAAAATGCAGAACATGAGAAAATATGGATCTGACCCATTAATAGCAATGCTTGTGTTTTCAGCCCAATGAATTATTTTTCAGTAAAGAGCTTTAAACAAGACATTTTCAATTCAATGAGGACTCTCCAGCTTGCTAATGAAATTTTCTCGCCCTCTACATTAATCCCTTTAATATGTATGAAAATTATATCATAGTAGGCTAGAGAGGGAGGGAGGGAAAGAGGGATGGAGGGTGAAAGAACTACTTGGTAAAAGTAGTTGTGGGGGATCCTGAAGAAATGACTGTGGTGATTAACAGACCACTGAAGGGAATTATATACATTAATAAAAATGGCATTCAGAAACTTTCTCATGAAAAGAAATCTTTATTTTCCATTTACTTTGGCTCCAAAATTTTTTTCCTGCTATCATCTGATGATGGATTTGTGACTAATAGAAAGTGAACTTGAGTGCCTTACTCTAAGTTTCTATTTAACAAAAATAATAATATGGTTACCTGATACTTATTTTATAAATGAATAAAAAGCTCATTTATTTTATCTTCTATGGAAATTGTTCAGAGTGAATTTTTATGACCCTTTGAGACAATCTATTAAGCCAGGACAAGCAGAATAGGGAAACTGAGAAAGATAAACAGCAGTTTGCAGCCATCTAGAAAATCTAGATGCCAAGCAGTTTGCAGCATCTATTAAGTCCTATCTTCTTTAAAACAGGGAAACTTAACAGTAAATGGTTTGCCTGTCTCCTCCCCAACCAGAAGGTAAATAGCTTGAATTGCCCTGCTCACTGAGACACATAACAGAAATTCAAT